GGGAAGCCACAAGTATGGTGTAGATTGTACATATGCAAAAAGTATTTACGTTAAAACTATTCTATCGCGTGGTTAATTGGCTTGCTGGAGTATTTGCCAATAGCGACAGCGAAGAAACACTTGCTGCGACGACCAGGAGACAGCTGTGCTGATGTGGATACGTTCCATACTTTCGAACGAGCTTATGACATATTTAAGCATACATACACGTGTTGCTATACAATTTATCATGTGTTTAATGTATGCTATGCTTTGTTGGCGGATTAGCAACCTGTCAGAAGCCTCATTTGCGTACGCCTGCAGGCAATGGGACCTTTCGGAAAGGGTTTTAGGGTTAGGTTAGTTGAGCAGATAGCTCAGCACTAGCATATGATCCATACACAGCCGGGAAGAAGTGAGTGCAGGATGACATTAATCAATATTATCCGGGCAGAATGGTAGTTCGGTCGCCTTTTCATATAGTGTTTGTAAATATTTGGTAAATATTCGGGATTGTACGTGATAGCGTGTACGTATATTTGCGGCCTCTGTATGTGTGTGTATGACTGGAACTGTACGCGATTGGGTGCGTATGTATATGTGGTGTATGTGGGTGTTTAATGAACAAATATCAGACCATGCATAGAGTTTGTAGCCTGTGACTGGGGACTGTGTGGTGAGTTCTGTACGACGCGCAGTATTACCTCTTGACGATCTCATCCCAATCCTAATATTTTTTCTCTCACGGGATTTGTTTCTGAATCGACATCATCCCAAAACATCTAAATCGTCTGTACTAGTATATGTGTACACAGACGGCACTCTTATATATCTTCTCTGTATTCGTACTGTGTATCAATCACACAGATCCGTGGTGTATTATCTGCAACGCCGATGCCACACTGCAGTGTAAAGCAGGCTGCGGACTGTTTTGTGCGCCGTGTTTTCTGGGAACCCACAGCGCGGGTGACCCCTACGACAGCACCTTCGGAACACACAAGAGCACACCTTATAGGATACAGGACTACTTAATTGGTAGGAAGGGGAGGGTGACGAAGAGGAAAGCTGTAAGAGCTGTGTGAAAAGGCGATATACACAAAGACTATGACAATTGCATGTGCACATATGCAATAAATTCTATATTCAGCTTTAACTCAGTTGGATGGAAGGCTTTAGGAAGGTATGCTATTCGTTTTGATAGTGAATGTCCCCAAGATCAGATTTAGTGGGGTCCTGAAGTATTAATGTCAACTGAGTTATGATGTTCCTCCGGTCGCAAACTTGTATGGGCTCTTGGCCAGGGGCCAACTTTGCACGTTTGGCGCAAACAAAATGGGCTTTTGTCTGACGTATTTATGTATCGGTGACACAAAATGAGAGATGGTAATCAAGAGACCCAAGACAGTGGTAATGCTGTGTATGAATGCGATGCTTGGTATCTTTTTTACAAATCCACAAATTAAAAGTTTAAAGAATATCTTTAACGTGTACGTTCTGCATAACCTTATATGCGAGAATACGAGCGACTAGTCGAAGGTCAGAAAATGGATCTGAAGCGACATTAGTACATGTTGCATTCTGAAGATTGAATCAACCACGCAGAGCAACTGGTCAGTCCGGAAAAATCTTTGTGATAGGTAATGAAGGAGGTGAACACGGATGCATTGCACTATTCTAATGATTGTGTACCAGTGACGGCTGTTTTCTAATGAGATATCAACGTTTATTGAATTAAATATTGATTTTCATTTTATATTTGTATATATTTAGTATGTCCTTTTGACTAAAGTTATGGTACCAATTTAAGCCATTGAACGTACGCCAGCTTTAGCACCAATAGAGCTGGGATCTCTTCAAGTGGTACTCCCTTGGTTTCCTTGATGAAGAAAATGACAAATGCCAAATTGATGCAGTTCAATCCACCGAACACGTAGAACGTTCCGGGGGTGGACCAGCCCATCATATAAGGGGGTGATGGAGGCATTGAACAAGTACTGCCAGAATAAAACTTTGAAAACGAAGCAATCAGAAATGAATAAATAGAGAAGAAAATTCATAGTTCCCCATCATATAATATAAAAAACAGTTTGAATCAAGTGGTTCAAGTATATCTTACAACCACCATGGAAAAGAAAAACGAATTGGAGTCAACCACTCACTTGAGTGGCTCTGCTACAGAGGTTTCCGAACAGGACTACTCAGCCGCTCGTGACGCCATGCCAAACAATTTGACATACATCGCAGTGTTTGTTGCCATGTTGGGAGCCATGATGTTTGGTCTGGATCAAGGTAACTTTGGTAATGTACAGAGTTTCCCAGACTTCCAAGAGCACTGGTGCCTTGGTCACGACTACGGAACTCAGAATACCTGTGGACTCGGCACTGAAGAATCGTGTGCTGGTACCGCGGCCACTGAACAGGCATGCATTTCTAGTGGCATTACTGATGATATGGCGTGCTGTAGTGAGCTTGTAGCCGCCAACAGTGCGTGGCACAACGACTTCGTTCTGTGGGGTGCTACTCTAATCACATTGGGAGCCGCTGCTGGTGGGTTGCTTGTAGGTCCTTTCCTAACCAATGGATTTGGTCGTCGCTTGTGTACCTGTGTTGGTGCGATTGTCACCATCATAGGCTGTCTATTCTCCTCTCTTCTGTCATTCGACGTTGTTGGTGTCTTTTTCGCTGCTCGTTTCCTCACTGGATTCGGAGTAGGTGTATGCTGCTTTGCGTTGCCCTTGTACAACTCTGAGATTGCCACCCCGGGAATCCGTGGAATGACTGGATCAATGTTCCAGATGAACGTTGTGCTTGGGTCTCATACTTCGCGCCATTCCCGGTGTTGTTATTGCTGTTGTCATTTGGTTCACACCAGAATCTCCACGATATGTAATGAGCAAGAAGGGATACGATGAAGGAGCTGAGTTACTTACCAAGATCCGTGGTGGAGATATCACTGCCGAAGCACAGGAAATATATGAGCAGTTGAAGGCAGAGGAGGAAGCCGGTACTGTATCTTACGGAGATCTTTTCTCCGACTCTAACTTGCGCAAGCGTATGTTGATTGGTGTCTTCTTGCAGATAGCCCAGCAATTGACAGGTGTGAATGCTTTCCTTGGTTATGCCTCTACCATTTTTTGCTGCCATCGGTATTCCTATTCAACAAGATCTGGAATGCTGTCATGGTATTCGGTTGTGCCGTTGGTCTAGGTTTGCTCGATTCCAAGATTGGAGGACGTCGCAGGCAATTGTTGATGGCTACTTTCATTATGGGACCTCCTCTCATCCTGGGCGGTGTCTCCCTACAACTAGATTGGAACGGCTACATCACCATGGTTATGGTGTGCGTGTACGGATTCGGTTTCCAGTTAACCTGGGGTATGATCCCCTGGATCTATCCCTCTGAGATCTTCTCCATGAGAGAGAAGGATAAAGCCATGTCCTTCGCTGTATTCTGGCAGTACTTGTTCAATGCCTCCATCACCCCTTATATAATGGGCTGGTCCACCCCCGGAACATTCTACGCGTTCAGTGGATTGAACTGCATCAATTTGGCATTTGTCATTTTCTTCATCAAGGAAACCAAGAAAGTACCACTTGAAGAGATCCCAGCTCTATTCGGCGCTAAAGCAGGCGTACGTTCAATGGCTTAAATCGGTATCATACTATATATTTTCTAGATTAACTACTATAGTGTCATGAGACAATATGAACAACTAACAAGAAACTTTTGTTCGGAATAAAGGTTTAATCCATACTTCTTTTAGTTACGTAGGGGCTACTCTTAGATAGAGCTTCCATTTATACATTTTGTCATTGTTCCCTCAAATTCTCTTATCTGTGGGTACAAGTGCACTTGAATTCAAGAATATATATATATATATACATATACCACTCTATATGTAGATATGTATATAATAAAGCGAGTTGAGTTCTAGTAACTCCTGCTCGTGTATGATATGCTACAGTCTTACTTCCAGTTATCTGATACATAGCGGTGAATGATATAGACATAATTTTATACTTGATCGGCCACACGTATGGGATGGACATTACTTTTTGAAACTCTTTGTGTGAGTCACTTTGAAGAGCATGCTGGGGCTCAGGATTGTGAGTACGTAGGCAATCCAAACCTTGACATCGGCCAGGATCACGAGATCTCTTTTCTGGGCGATGGCATACAGGACGTTCTTCGCCACAAACTCAGGCGGATATCCCTGCATAAGCGAATGTCCAGTACTGAATGAATCCAATGCGATACAACGAGACTGAAGTGTTCGGTTGAACTGTCCACAAACACGTTGCTAAGTAGGGGCTGGTCACCGGGATAATATGAAGCGGACATATAGCACAGCCACACAGTCGAATCTGTGGACATCCTGGCAACTAAACACTGTCTATACAGTGCACACAATCTAACGTACATCGATGTATGCACTTAGTTTTGGTTGTGTGCTCAGAGGATTTCTGGTCTACTGCTGTATCTCACCAGTCGACGCACACGCGTACAGAGGCAACCACATGCACAAGTAATAATTACGCGTACAAACAACACAGAACAGCCCAAAAGAAACATACGTAATTTCAGTACAGGAACAAACAGACACCCGAGGCAGGTACCTGTAATTACGTTTGCATACAACACACCTTTGCCGTTGTGGGATCCAGCATGCCATGTGCCGATCCATCGCTGGTTAAGGCATTCAGCGAAAGGTTGGTGGCAACATAGCCGGGACATATCAGAGACACGTGAACGCCATAGTCGTGCAGCTCATGCCTCAGTGACCCGAAATACCCGTGCAGGGCAAACTTGGATGCGTTATACAGAGCCCGTTCAGGCATACAGATGAAACCTACGAAGATTAGAACATAAGAGATAAACTTTATAATCGGAGGGATAGTGGTCCAGAAATATATGCACATGAACGTTAATAATGTGGCCAACAAGCCTAAGCCGTACGTCTCATGCCACAGAGAACCAACGTATCCATGCAGGGTAAACTTGGATACGTTATATACATAGACAGTTCAGGCATACAGATGCAACCTACGAGGATAATATCGTGAAGATATGCTTTTGAAATTGTAGCGATAGAAGTGGAGTAGTACATGTACATGAACATATATAATGTAGTCGATAACACAAAGCCGTGCAGCTTATGCTTCAGTGGCCCAAAGTAAACACACAAGGCAACATAAAGGTAGTACATAGATCGCGTTCTGATGTGCAGATGAAGTCTGGGAATGCGTCGAGTGGCCAGATTGTCATTGATAGTCCTTCAATAGAACATTGAGCTTTGTAGAGCAGAGACACTAAACCAGTGTGCTTGATAGAATAAAAATATAAATTAAATATATATATATATATATATATATATATATATACATACACACATATATATAACTATAATATATAGTATTTATATACATACTATAATAACAAACAACATAACAATATAT